AAAAAAAAAAAAAAAAAAAAACCCACAAAAGCCTTTAAAACCTAATAAAAATAGGGCAACTTGCTATATAGCCCAGTTTATATTAGACATTAGGAAGGTCTTAACATTGTTTTATTATTTACACTTTCAACTGCAATAAAGAAAAATCAGAATGCAAGTTTCCTACAAAGGATTTACTTTTATATTTAACTCTGAAATGGCTGATAAAATACTAAAGCCAGGATCCCCAAAAGGTATTTGATTGCCCAGTTACCTTATTTACAAACAAAACTTAAAAAAAAAAAAAAGACATCATTTAAATATAAACGATTGGTATTTAGCTGACTCTACAAATTAAAAAAACTTATTTAGCATGATAAAACTTTGTATTGTCCTATTCCTCCCCACTGGCTGGCTCAAGAAGAATAGACTTTAGGAATTACGTAAGTGTGCCACACTAACAATAACCTCATAAGAATTGTTCTAATCTTTTTCTTTGTCCCAAAATGTGTAAAAAAAAAAAAGGGGGGGGGGCATTTGCCCAGTAAGGAAGGCAGATCATACACTGGTTTCTGATAAAGTTATGTGCAATCTAATACTGAGACATGATTTTTCTGGAAATTAAAATAAAATAGGCCAATGATGACAACCAGTCAATGATAAAATAACAAATGAATCATAAGACACTGAAATAACCCAAGAAGGAAAGTCGGCAAGAACACTTAGAAGGTATTTGCAGTACTCTACAGTGCTAAGATCACGTGTATAAAAGCAAGAGAGGACGATACCACAGGCATTATTTTGTTAATCTTGTACAGTACTGGAAAATTTGTGGAACAAGATAAATGCATGTCATGCAATATTAACACTCACCTTGTTGCATGAATAATTTAGAAAATATAAGCAAAAGAGAACAAAAACTTAGTTAACACTTATACAATACAGTAAGAGGACTGTATGGTGCAGCCTGCCTAAGGAGTTCTGCAGAGATATAACAGATTTTAAGCTCCTTGCTCTAGGACTTGTTTTTCAAATAAACCTTTCATTTATCTGACAATGGGGGGGAAGGGGGAAAAGGGGGGAACACCTCACTGTGAGGCAATTGGTACCCCAATAAATACTTTTCAAGGAAGAAAGCTCTCCTCTACACTTTTCTCATTGACTTATACTGTGTTAAAGTATTCTGCGTATTTTAAAAAGTGAGTCCAGAGAAATAGAGGGATATAGTTACCTCATCAAGTTAACTGTTAACAACAGATGTTATCTTTGTATGTAATTTATAAATTTACTGGCAGTAACATAATTTTGAAAAGGGGCTTACTCACATTTAAATAGGGTGAAAAATACCATAACAAAGTACAAAGGAAAGAGTAACAAACATCATTGTTACCTTTAAATGCCACATAAACATCCTACATTTTGGGTTGAAATTTCAATTTCCAGGATTTCCAACAAAGCAGTACTTAACACAAGTATTGTCAGGCTAAAAATTTAGTAAATTTGCAGTCCCCAAATGGGATAAACAAGCTTATTTGTAATACTCTGTGAAAAGGTACCTCGAAATAAAAAAGGTATCACGGGTTGTGAACTGCTACAAGAAGTCTGTAATCAGTAGCTATTTTTAGTTGAGTCTTCTATTCTCTCCCCCAAAAGAAACAAACAAAAAGTGCCCATCAACATTAAAACCTGCCCAAATAAAAGACTAGAATTCTAGCCTAGCACCTTTCAGTTAATCCAATATAGCCATTGCAATCTCATGGCAAGCTAATTTGAGGAGGCTATTTCATAATGCTTTTTCCTCAAATAACTACAATTTTTCTTTGTACCTTCCACTATCTGGAATAAAAGGTTATTTTACTGTAGTAAATCTATGTTTAGAGTTACTGTTTAAGATTTTTTTTTTTTTTCTTTGACAGAAAACACAGTATAGGCTAAAATAATGAAATATTTTCATTCTACTAGGCTTTCTTCACAGGATTATATAGTGCTATATAAAAGCTTTTAAAACAAGGATTAGTGAATATAAATTAAAACATTCACCAAGGTCACCATTTCAAGGCTAGGTAAGCAAACTGTTACCACGTGACCAAAAAACCAGCCAATAAAGAACAATTTTGAACATGAGCTTTCTGTTTTGTAGACAGGAATGATCTTGAACACATAATCAATGTTGCATCCATTGCAGGTAGAAACATATGTACATGCAGATATAGATAGGTGTTCGTATATATCTAGAAGACACCTCCCTTTTGAAATTTTCATTTGCATGATATTGGCAACTTCTTTACCATCGCCGTTAGTCCTAGAATAAGGAATATCTACATGGTTAGTTGGCAATTTTGATTTCATGGAAACTTTCTTACTGTGGTCTTATTTTCTGAAAGTGAAAGGAAGGTTTTGGAGATTTATAGTTTGGCAATCTGTAGGCTTTCTTCAGCATCAATCAAACTTCAACCCAACATAACATACACTGACCAGCATTAATGGAAGGAATGGCTCCCTCCTATAATTCCAGGAGTTATAATTTGAGAAGGTAGAAATATGAATTCAAATATGGTTAGGGAAGATGACTTGATAAAATTATTTCACAAACTCCAAGAACTCCTTTCAAAATATTCCCAACCACACTCTCATCCCTAAATGTACCCCAGCAGTCCTGTCTTAAACTATATACACTCAACTATCTGATACCAACAGAGCTGGCACTCAAATTGAAAATGCAGGACCTAAGCTGAATTTGATTAACTTTGAAGAGGAACAGAGATACACAGTAAGTTATATCTAATTGTTACATAAAATGACCCCAAAGGATATACTTTCAATTCTATCCAAAGCTGACATAGGAAAAATGAGACAAAACTTGGCACCATTAAAACGAAGTTAAAAGTTAACAAAAGGAAGAATGATATGAGAACAGAGATAATGGAGCTTTCCCTTTAATATTTCAGCTCACTATATTTTGTGAATTTGACTCTTTCCTTTGAAAAAATACTATGGCTTTGGGTGATAAACTAGAATTGCTTTCATAATTTCTAAACAGTGTGTGAGCATAGATACTGAAATATGTTTGAAGGAAAATTTCTTACACAATACAGTCTTCTCTCTTGGTCCACTTTACATAAAGTTAATTTAAATAGTGACCAAAAATAAAAGCATTTATATTCTTAGAAGAAAATAGCAAGTCAAATTTTTGGAGTTAAATGTATTAATGCCACTGGTGAGTATACAAAAGCCTTGGTTTAAAAATTACTTGAGGGAGTGTGCTATATTTTGTGGAAATAAAGGAAAAATGAAGGGCTAAAGGCTGAAAGGGAAGAGTAAACAATGGACAAATGGCCATGTTTATTTTTGCAATTAATCTTTAAGGCACAAAGTAAATGCAAAAGATTAAAAAGAGAGAGGCAATTGAGATGTTTTTCACCTAATTAGCAACCCAGAAGAGACCAAAAAAGATCAGATCCTTTCCTATGTTCAAATTAACCTATTTTAAACTCTAACCATTTTGCTTTTTCCCCCCTCTTCTTTGGGTTTTCTTTAGATTCTGTTTAAATCATTTAACTATGAATCTACAGATCCCTTAGAAGCAGAATCATGCCAGTTACATACCTCAGATGCTTTGCTCTACTTACTTGATACTAGAAGACAGGTAAATTTGAGAACAAAAATGGGAGGTTCCACTGCAACAAACATATAAACAGGAGGAGGAGGAAAAACCCACACAAACACTCACACATATTCCCCAGCCTCAAGATTAAAGGAAGGTGCACGTTTACATTTCAAAACCTCGAAGCTTGAGTTGTTCAGAAAAAGGTTCTTGCTTTATGGGCTCAATTTATTTTACTCTGATTATAAACAAATGTAGTGTATATACACATCTGTCCAAGAAATCTTGCACAATGTAGATTTTACAATGGGTATCATGCACAGATTAAAACAAGACCAAAAAGTGGAACTTTTCAAAGAGGAAGAGATAAAGTCTCCAAGGCTTAACTGCTCTGGGAAGAAGAGATCACATCCGTTGACTGAGGATCGCAGAAAGGTCCAAAACGTCCATAAATATCCTTGGCCCGTACTGCGAAGTAGTATTTGCTGCCAGATACAAACTGGGTGAGAGTGCATGCCATGGGCAAAGGAAGTGCCTTTACCTCTCCAATCTTTTTCCATTGTGAGGGCACAGTGGCACTGGGTTCCTCATGGTAAGCATAGAGATGGTAGCTGTCAACAGTGGCACAGGTCCGATCCACCTCCAGGACACTCCATGATAGTACAATGCCATTTTGACTCTGAACTCGTGCTAACTTCAAGTGTGGCTTCTGAGGCAGCGATGTGCTGGCAGCTTCTGGGGGCAGACGCTGTGGTTGTGGGGCTTCTGGTAAGGGTGCTGGGTGCACAGGGCGTGGGGGCTCCTAACCAAGAAGAGCCATGTTGATTTATTTATAATGACCACAAAAAGGGCTATTTCTGAGAGTAAGAACTAAGACATCCTAGAGGTCCCTTACTGAGATCATTTTATATCAAGAATACAGGCAAATACCAAATTTGGGAAGTATTTTTAGTAATCTGTAACCAACTGTGCCCCAAACAATGGTGCAGAGGTAACCCCTGCTATACTTTCCAGACCTACTGAGTTTTCCTTGGGAAATAAAAGCCATCACTGATGGAACATCATCTTGACAGACAATGTATCATCTACTAGTAACAAAATAATATATGCTTCTGTATGCCACAGCTTATTTTAGTATAATGTAACATTTTAAAATATTATGTGGCCCTGGCCAGTGTGGTTCAGTTGGTTGAGCACAGTCCTGTGCACCAAAAGGTCACTGGTTCAATTCCGGGCATTGAGTTGCGGGTTTGAGCCCCAGTTGGGGTATGTACAGGAGGCAACCAATTGATGTTTCTCTCTCACATCGAAGTTCCTTTCTCTCTAAAATCAAAAACTTTTTTTTTTAAACTAAATTATGTGTCTATCATAGGAAATTTGAGTATTTAACTCTACTTTCATTTTAAAGCTATTTTTCCATATAAAGACAGCAGCATATTCTTATAATAAGCACACTTAATGATGAATGTACATTATATTCTTGGTCAGGCTGCATAAAAAAGGTGACATTTAAATTAGACCCTGAAAGAGGAAATTTAGAAATGTAGAAAAAGTTGTGTACCCTTCTGCCAAAGCGTAGCAAAGGCATGGGGATTTATGGGCAAAAGCCAATGTTAACTTTTTACTCAGACATAGGGTATGTGAAAAGAAAAGATAAATTTGGAAAGGTAGGTTAGAGTCAGATAATGAAAGAGCATTTATACAAAGCTTAAGAAGTCACATTCACTTATCTAACACTGGACATTATTATATCTGGGTTCTGAGATTACAGTGATAATTTTTCCAAAAAAGATTCAAGTGAGAGCCAGGAAATAAGGATATGAGTGATCTTTTTTTTTCTAGTGAAACATCATTGCTCATTGACTTTAGATTGGAAGTCATGAAACAAGATTTCCTTAACTGAAATTCATTTAACAAAAATTGTTTTAATATGTATTTTATTAAATGGATAATTTGCATATACTAAACTGTGAATTCTGTGATAGTCTGATGATGCTATCTTTTTAATTTCCATGCCTTCTCAAAGCTTAGTACCAGAAACATGCACACAGAAAGAACTCAGAAAGGATATGATGAATAATTTCAAGGAATGTAAATATGCTGAAATTCTTTATGCCCAGTGGAAAAAACTCAAACATGTCTGGAAAAAGGTACAATCTCAGTTAAATAGCTAAAATAAATATAGAGAAAAAAGATCAAACTTAAATAGATAAAACACTGAAAGCTGAAGAAACAGAAATGAGTTCAGCCCTGGTCAATGTGGCTCAGTTAGTTGGGCATCGTCTCCTGCACTGAAAGGTCACGGGTTTCATTCCCAGTCAGGGCACATGCCCACGTTGTGTGCTAGATCAATGGTCAGGGTGCACAAAGGGGGCAACAGATCAATGTTTCCCTCTCCCCCTCCCCCCCCTTAAAATCAATAAAAACATTTTAAAAAACAAAAAGTAGAATGTATTTGAATGCTGGCCATGTTGCTATATTTCTTATCTCAAATAGTCCTTTTTCCTAAAATGACATAATCATTTTAATAAATAACATTAAATAAACATATAGCTAACAATCTAAGAGAATATGGTTGAAGCCATGAACTTGACTGGAAGGAGCACAGGAATTTAAGAAGTTTGACAATAGCTTAAATGGCCTGCAATATTCCTTCTAGTTCTAAAAATTTTACGATTCTGAATCTGCTCATATCCCAAAGCTAAGTCAACTGAGTTATTGTTCCGTTTTATTTTTGTTGGTGCAATGTCTTTTACTGAAGTTTTACAGATAAAATAATATATCAGGGATCTGCTTCAAAATAGTCTGGTGTGTACTTGGTTGTGGAAATAAGTGGCTGGTACTACAGATGAAATAAGACTGGCCAAGCACTAATAATTGTTGAAGATGGGCAACAGATGTGTACGAATTACTATACTATTTTCTCTATTTTTATATACATTTGAAAATTGCTTTTAAAAAAATTACGTATTTTTTAATCCTCACCCAAGGATATTTTTTCCCTTGCTTTTCAGGGCAGGGGGAGAAACACTGATGTGAGAGAGACACATCAACTGGCTGACTCCTGCACATGCCCTGACGGGGGCCGTGGATCAAGCCTGCAACTGAGGTGCGTTCCCTTGGCTAAAATCGAACCCAGGACCCTTCAGTCCGAGGGTCAATGCTCTAACCATTCAGCAAAACCAGGTAGGGCTAAAAATATTTTTAAAATTAATTAAAAGAATGTTCCTCCTGTGAGATTCAGTTTATTCTAAGACAATACATGTGGATGGAATCCAGTAAAAAACAAACAAAAGGAACCCACAAACAATTAAAAAAACACCTCTGATGGGTCATCAAATTTGTAAAACTATGGTAAAAATAAGATATTTTTGCTATATAGTTTTTGAAAGACTAATGAATAAATGAAATGATTTGCAGATGCAAACAACAGTAATGGTGTATTTGCCCCAGACTGAAGCACTGTGAAAACATTCTGGAGGTGCTGAGATCAGACGGCCTGAGTTGTAAAATGGCTCTGCCTCTGACACTAGCTTGGGTAGTGACACTGAGTAACTTCACATCTTTGTGACACAGTCTTCTATCAAAAAGAAATTAATAATCCTCATAAAGTTGTGAGGATCAAATTAAAACACATGTGAAGTACTTACTAGAGTGCCTGGTATACAACAAGTGCTCCATTAACCCTTTGCGGTCGTATTAAATTTGGACATGGGTGTCATACTGGTCGGAATTAATTTCCATTGAAAGAGCAGTGATACATAACATGCAAGATTATGAAGGATAAACAAGATTTATTAATTCTTTTTTGAACATGAGATGTATGTTTAGACAATAATGTGTTTCAATAACATGTTTTTATGTAAAAATTATATTTTATATTTCTCCATTGTGTGGTATCTTTGAAAACAGTCTCCAATATGCAGTCCTGGTTTTCGACTACATGTATCGCAAAAATAATTAGTTTGGCGTCTTCCGCCCCTAATCTTTCTGTTCGAACATACAGAGCAATCTTTACTTTTCACACCTTCACAGTGCCGCAATATATGCAGTTTCCCATTAAGCCTTTCATCTTTATCTGAGGCCGATGGTCTTCCTGGTTTTGAAGACGCTCCTTCACGAAAATCACCTACAAGTTGTTCGACCAATTTTCGAACAAACATAAAATGTGACATAGGCGTCCTGTTTTCTTTTCTAGCTGATATCTTATATAAGATGTAGCTATTTATTGCACAGATCTCTAATCCCCAGAAAAAAATCTTTCTCCACCATTTGCAAGATTTTCTCATAAAACAATATGAACTTGCTAATTGGTCAGCTTTGTCGACGCCTCCCATATTCATATTGTAATTTATAATAACATTCGGTTTGCTAATGTTGATGGTGCCACCTTGTTTCACCCTTCTTTCTATAGTTGTTGTGCCCGAGGTATCGTAACTGCTTAGTATGGTGACTATTATCTTTCNAGCTTAGTATGGTGACTATTCTCTTATCTTTCCACGCTAATAATAAAATATCACCTGATCGATAGGCAGCAACAGTATTACTTTTTGTTACAGCTGGTTTTTTTATCACAGCTGGTATATATTTTCTGTTTGTACTAAGTGTACCAGTTAACATTCGTACAGTTCCTTGCTGTGGTGGCTGAGAGCAGACATACGACCGGAACGGTAAAAAAGCTTTGGTGGCTGAGAGTAGACAAACGACCGCAAAGGGTTAATATTGATGTTTTCATTGTAGTGGGACAATAAAAATAATAGCTATTAAGAGCACAGGCCCTAGAGCATGGGTTTTTATGAAGACCGTGGGCTGGTTAGTCAGCCTCTCTGTGCATTAGCTGCCGTATCATAAAAAAGAGGACAGCAAAAGTCCTAAAGGATTCCCATGTGAGAACTAAGTGTATTATTAACAGTGCCTGGCACATAGTAACCACTTGATAAACGCTAGCCATTATTATGTACAATAAAAAAAGGATGCTTTGCTTGGTAAAAAGTGTATGTCTCAATCTCCTCCCCTCCTCATAAAGTCAGTATATTTCCATTTATATGGTATACCATACCAAATACTGTTATAATCATGTCACAGGATAATATGACATTGTTTTGGAGGCTATATTACATCTAAGGAAAAATCTTTGATTTTCTGTTATCTCTGAACAAATAAATTCTGAATACCACTGAATTATTAAAAACAAGTGATGGCAATGTAGCAGATAGAGCTGGTGTAACATTTTGAGGAAAAGAATAAAGTTAGAATATCAAAAAATGGTTTTTAAAATGTAATTTTTAATATTCAAAAATATTTTTTAATTTAACCATGGGTTAAAATGGTCTATTTCTCTCACTTCACATGCCCCATCTAGGGACTCTTTTTGTACATTGTAAGCCACCACACGCTCTATGATCCTTGATGACCATCATCCCTAGGAACATTTGTTCATAATAAGATCTGTTCTCTTAAATCAACTTCTGCAGGAAAAACAAAAGACCTGTCATTTCCTTTTGATATAACTAGTTTAAAGAAAAATAATATCTGACAGCTTCCTAGGTAAGAATTTTGTAAAGCCACGATCAACACTTACAGGGTGCACCTGTGGTGGTCGATGATGCACTGTGAGCTGAGGTCCTGTGGATCCCAGGGCTAGTCCATTGTTTACAACATATGTAGTTGCTTGAGGCACTCGGACTGTGACACCTACAGAAGAAAATTAAGGAATAAATTAGAATTCTATTCTAAATTTGGTAGAACCCTGATTAAACACCTGAAGTCAGTAAAATGTTATTTTTAAAATACGAAAGGAAAACTATTTCTAAACTAGAAGTCTACATTCAGGCAAAGTATCACTCCAGAGTGAGGACAAAGAAGTGTTCATATTTGCGAGCAAGCAACCAAAATTAAAATCTCCCTCCCAAGTAGCCACTGGAGGATGTGTGCCACAAGTATGAGAGAGAAAATAAAAGGAAACATGAGACACACAGAATAGGAGATCCAGCACAGGAGAGAAATAAATGGAATCCCAATCAAAAGGCCTATGAGCAAAATTCTAGAACACTGAATCACTGGAGACACACCACACGTAGAAGCAGACAGGCTAGGATGAAGCAGTTTGAGTTTAAAGACAGGAAAAATAAAACTGTCCTCACAAAGGTATCTGCTGTCTCATGTTTTGTTTTGTTTTGTTTTAGAGAGAGGAAGGGAGAGGGAAAAGGAGACAGAGAGAGAAACATTGATATGACAGAAAGACGGAGACATCAATCAGTCTCCTCAGTATGCACCCCGTTCGGGGACTGAACCCATAACCTGGGCATGTGCCCTGCCCAGAAATCAAACCAGCAACCCTTTTGGTGCACAGGTCAATGCTCAACCAATTGAGCCAGACTGGCCAGGGCATGTCTCATCTTTTTAACTAGAACAGAAAAAAACTCCCCTGAGTTATCCCTGTTTTGTGTTATGAAGTTCTTTTTCTCTCCATGCCCTGTGCTGATCAGCTGAGGATACTCACTTTACCCAACAGAAAACTGGGTAACATACATCAGGGCAACAGAAGCGGAGAATTTAGAGCCACCTACTTCCCCAACCATATTCCTGCCATATATTCAATACCTGGTCCATGCTATAGTTCTGCTAGGTACTCTGTGGTGAAAGCCCAATTTCCCAGAACTCATTCAAGGTCCATTTGACTGACTTCCCCAGAGAAAGCTCTTTGCACTTGAGAAAGTTGAATCCAGACTATGAACCAGAGACTCTGCTTAGTTTATATTCTCCGGGAAGCAGTACCTTTAAACAGCTACATTTGTCCTTGCTATTAAATTTTGAAAAAGTAAACATTTTTAGTGAAACCTATATAAATGGCAAAACCATACAGAAAAGCACAAAGTAAGGATGACTGCATCTCTCTCCTTTTCTGATGGAAAGGAAGAGAGATGCAATTAAGGATGGACATATAACAGACTTGTAGGATACTGATAAAGCTCTATTTCTTAGCCTGGTGGAGAGTTCAAAGGGAGTTTATTTTCATTTTTTAAACTTTAAATATACCTTTTATATAAACATCTGATGTATTTGAATGATGTTATTTTAGTACTAACATAAATATGTACAGAAGCTCTTCAACTTACGATGAGGTTATGTCCCAATAGATCCATCATAAGTTGAAAATGTATTTAATACACCTAATTTATTGAGCATCATAGCTTAGCCTACTTTAAACGTGCTCAGAACACTTATATTAGCCTACAGTTCGGCAATTACCTCAAGTTTCAGGAGTAATTGCCTTCCTCTTCTCAGGAAAAGCAGGAGATATAGAAAGCCATTTTATAGACATGATGGCATGTGAAAATACAAAATGCAATATCCACAATTCACTGGTAACACAGTACACTGTAGGGTATCAGTTGTTTACCCTCATGAATGCGTGGCTGACTAGGAGCTCTCGCTGCTGCTGCCCAGCATTACAAGTATTATTATGGCATATCACTAGCCTAAGAAAAGATCAAAGATCAAAATTCAAAGTATGGTTTCAGCTGAATGTGTACTGCTTTCATACCATCATAAAGTCAAAAAATCTTAAGTCAGGGACTATCTGTATGTGGAAACAAGTTTCCTTTAACATTTTCCCATCTTTTATTTCTCAGTCATCTTCCATACCTTTAGACTCTCTCTCATTAGAGGCCATCAATTACCATTACTGCCATCTTCTGGGCTAAGTCACACTTAGTCATTTCCACTTTAATTAGGCAAGGTATCTCTTAATAGAGTGGCGTGTAGACCAACATCAAATAGGGCACTGTACTTATACAGGCCATAAATAATTAAAGACAACACACAAAATACAAATCATATAAAATACATGTCCAATTTTTCTGGCTAACTCTCCTAATAGAAAGAAAATAAACTGATAGTAGTTTTCATATGATATTACAAATACTTTTTGCTAAATCTAATGTCAATAAAAGGTACTCCAACTAAATGCTGAAGAACTATATGTAACTTGGGGCCATATACAAGAAAACTCTCTCTTACTATTTTGGGGATTGACCTGCCGAACAGTAGGAGCCTGCATAACAGTTCCTCGTAGGGGAGCCTGAGCTGGTGGTGCAGGAAGGGTTGTATAAACCACTTGGTTTGCAGGAGCTCTTGGTACAGGAAGTCTCGTGGTCACCTGAGTTGCTGGACGATGTGTTACATTCACAGTGGTTGGAGCTAATAAAAAGCAGAAAAATATAGTAAGAATGCAGTAATTCTATGTTAAATGAAGAGTATTAAATGTTAATTAACTTTGCAATAACTCTAATAAAGAGAGAAATAGAGACGACAGTCTCCTTTTGCCATCTTGATAGAGCCAACCAAAATTAATATTACACAATACAAACTTCAGAGAAAAAGAACATCTCGACCATGTCCAAGGCCCTTTCCACTCTTTAGTTTGACCAGATAATAAGCATGAAGATAAAGAAAAGGTTTAGACTCAAGAATACGAACTTATAGAAGTGATTTAAAAGAGCATATTTTCCCTCCTCTATGTTAAAAAAGTTCTTAGCAGAGTAGAATTTTAGGCCCTCCAGACTGTCTACAAATGGGTAAAAATCCAAAAGAGTAACTTTGGCCTTAACTGGTTTTGCTCAGTGGTTAGAACTTTGGCCTGCGGACCAAAGGGCCCCGGGTTCGATTCTGGCCAAGGACACACACCTCAGTTGCAGGCTCGACCCCGGCCCTGGTCGGGGCACATGCAGGAGGCAAACAATCGATGTCTCTCTCTCACATCAATGTTTGTCTCCCTCCCTCTTTTCCTCCCTCCCTCTCTGAAAAGCAATGGAAAAAAAATCTTCAGGTAAGGAGTAAAAGTAAATTAATAAACAGAAGAGTAACTCTGTATCCCCACAGTCCAAGAAACTGGTTGGCTATTGTAACTGACATTTTCTTCAGGTAAGCCAAACCATCTCTTATTCAAAACAATAAAATAGCCATTAAAATAACAGACTTCTTCCTTCTCTACTGTGGCATTCTTCCTAACCTATGGTACAAAGAGTATTAATGCCTTGACCGATGTTAATATATATTTGTCAAAACTGAGTCCTAAATGTTCACTCACAGCATGGAACTACAATAATAATTTGAGGAGTTAACAGCTTATTAATAACTCTCTGAATTAGAACTACATTTTACAAATGACCATATATTAACTACATAATAAAAAACAGTAAGAAATCTCCTTTCATATGAAAAAAATGGGTTCTATAAATAAAATTAATTTGGAGGTAAATGCTGGATATAACAAAGATAAAAAAGGTTTCTTTATTAAAGACTCCTTAGTCCTTATATATCCTGTCAATTTGAGTTAGAAAATGGAAGAAAGTAAACAAGGATGAATATTAATCTCATCTCTTTTTTCCCCATTTTATTATCTATACAGCACATGGGTTTGCATAATGACATTTCTTTCTGAATTATCTAAATTAAGTGACTATCACTTTAATTTCACTGGATACAATTCCATGTGAACTCAATGTTTTCCTTAAAGAAAAGTGTATTACATAAATATTTTGCAGATAAATCTCTAAGCAATGGGCTATTTTATGAAGAAAAACTGTTTCAACTGTCTTCCAGTTTAGGAGATAAAGGCTACACCTTTAAAATGTCTGATTTACAGCTTCTTGAGAGGTACCAATAAAATATTAGTGTTTATCTCCTATTGGTAGTGTTAGGCCAGTTAAAACTAGTTCAAGTTAAGAATTATTTTAAAATTCCTATTTAGTCAATTATAACTTCTTCGCTATAATCAGAATGAATCATTATATCCATCCCTTCCAGAGAAAGGATATTCATTTCTGCTGTTTACAGTAGCAGATGACAAAGACACATAGTTTAAGTCTTCTATTTAACCATTCATAGAAGTGCTGCTACTTAAGACAGGAAAACTAAGTAATACTGCGTTCAAAATGACATGGTATCTTCAAAATAACAATGAGAATTTTCTGTCTAATCTTGCCAGTTGATATTATAATCATTTCACTGTAGGCGAAACTAAAGATTCAGTCCAATGATTCAGCAAGTTTACCTGTAGGTAGTAAGTGTATTGTTGTCTGAGATGGTCCACTTGTTGGCACCCCAGATGGTTGAAGAGGTGGTGCTGGTTGGATGGGCTGCAACGGTCGAGACACAGGCTGAGAAGAACCCATGGCTGACACAGGAGTGTGATTTAGCTTTTTAGTGTCTGTTAATTAAAAGTTGGACGTTATGATTATTGATAGAAAAAAAATTAGGAATACAGGTTTTTCCTTTATTGGTAAAATTTACCTTTGCCTGCCACCAAGTCACATTTACTGCTTAGGAAACAATTTCTATTTTAATTATGTATATTTGCCAATATGAAACCCAAGTCAGGACCTTAAATAGTTCACTGTTGGTTCTATCACAGATTCTAATTCACATTTACAGAAATACCGTTTTATGCTGTTTTTTATGGAAGAATCTTTTTTCTGAACTCAAAACAGTATCATGTCAATATGAATAGTTTCATTGCCTACATTAATATATATCTATATATCTATGTGTCTATATCAAAGACATTCTCCTAGACAAATACCTATAAACTGATGAGTTTTTCACCAGAGATCCTGAATTCCAATTACTCTACTGTTGCTTAGATTCTTTTGTTTAATAACACAGATGGCTGCTTATTTACATTATCCAGTCTTTAAAATAAAATACACATATAGTGTCTATCTCAAAAAAAAAGTCTACAATAGCCTATGATATGAAATTAATGTTTGCATCTCAGAAAAAGCCCTTAAAAATAGTTAACCACTCTGGTGTAATATAGAGGGCAAGCCCAAAACTATTCTATCTAAAATAATTCCCATTGATTTCTGTCCTATGGAATTCTAAAATGTAAATAAAATTCTAAATTATGAATACAATTTAAGGCTTTAGCAAGTATTATTTAATTGGGTGCTGATGGAGAACAATACACTTTAGAAGAAGAGAATTAAGGCAGACTCAAAGATGGAGCAATGGAAAGAGACTCCATGAGGCAGGGATGCTAGAAAGAGAAATAGCAAGGGAACTGGTAATAAACTTTGCTTACTTTACTTTTTTATTCAGAATAGCCCTACCTATGTCCTCTCAAAAATAACCTGTATTTATTTTTGTCCTCTAGGAAATTCATTATACCTAGACTTGTCCATAAAAAAATAGTGAAAACAATACAGGTAATTTGAAACTTTTTAAGAAGAGTTATAGTGGTATAAATTCAACCCTGACAAATGATGGCATAAATCTTCCAATTTTACAGCAGTTTTACACAAAAAAATAACTTACTTTACTGTCACATAATCAATTATATAGCTACTTTTGTTTTCTTAAAAATCAAATGAACTATCTTACTCCTGGAAAATATAATTTTTTAAATGTTTATGTTTTTTGAATTTAATGTCTTTAAGGCAATAATTAACTTAAGTACCTGATCATACTAGATTTTCCACATGCATTAATATAATTATCACCAGAGTTTTACAGATATGTCTGTGAACAAAGTTATTTTGTACAGCCAAGTAAGTTTGATAAATACTTTATATCTTGAATCATTCTTTGAGAATTACATTATAAATTAACAGAGTAAAAGCTCAGAGAAGTCTATATTAAGAAAAAAACAGGGTGGGTGCGGGGAGGAGGGGGTCAATGGGGAAAAAAGGGGACATCTCTAATACTTTCAACAATAAAGATGAATTTTTTTTAAAAAAGAAAAAAACATATAATTTTGTTTTACTAAATATTTCCTAAGCATATTTAACCATGAAACTTTTTACTCATCGAATGCCTATTTATACTGCAGAAGAATAATCTGGAATATTAATATCTACCCAGTATTATTTCTAACTATTATAACTCAAAACAATATTAAGGACTTTGGGGTGTGCATGCTTTTTAACATTACTTCCATTTTCATTTAAATAACACTAAAGAAAATAAATTCAAATAACCAAAATTAAATGTATACACACTTAAAAGTACCTATATTAAAACATACACACAACATTTAGAGTCAGAAGACCTGGGTTGAATTCCCACTTCCCTTACTGACTCATACTCTATGAATCTATCTTCAACTTTAAAGTAGGCATTACAGGGTTACTGCAAGGATCATATGAAATATATTCTCCTAATTGCTCTGTTTTCCTCTATGCCTTTTCATATTCACTCAAGATTTTATTTCCATTTTTAAATTCTAATCTAAAAGCTCTCATTCTAGAAAGGATGCAAATAGATTGAGAGAAAAAAATGGTATCAAAGCATCACTTAGTATGATTACTTATATTTAAATACCTTGTGAGGCTCCACTCTCTTCATCATCCATTGTGAGATCAATGACACCACCTGAATCACTGCCTGTAGCTTTTCCATTCTGAAAAACAAAACTTTTATTTTGCAAAGAAACTTTGGCAGACATAAAGGAAAAATGAAGTAATACTGAGAAGAAACAAGGATAGTGAAGAGCCTGTTTCGATGACCGCATCATTTTCTCTTGCGCACAGTAACATGCTGTACAGGCATGCAGCCTAGGAGCAATAAGCCACAGCACGCACGTAAACTATACCGCCTGGGTCCCTGTGAGTCCACTCTACGGTCCCCAGAGAAGAGTTTCCCGGAAGGTATCTCAGGCGGTGCAGGGCTGTAAATGCTACTCACAATCACTTCATGATATGCTACACTGCAGATCAACAAGAATAAAGTTTTCATCTGCAAAACCAATTTTGTGAAGTTAAAGGAAATAATTTCTTGAGGTTAGAAAATTCAGGCCCAATCCCAAAATGATAATATAAATTCTAAGTCCTACAATTATAAACCTCTCTATGACAGTGACTTTGTAGAAATGACCTGTTAACACAAATCTGTGAAATTCAATACTAAAGGTACTTAAATCCTTAAAGAATGTAATAATCCAGTCACTATAACACCTAATGTCCACTTTAAATTTATCAGAAATTAGAGGAGCCCGGCCGGGCGTGGCTCAGGGGTTGAGCGTCGACCTAGGATCCACGCGACCGAGGTTCGATTCCCGGTCAGGGCACATGCCCGGGTTGCGCGCTTGATCCCCAGTCGGGGGCGTGTAGGAGGCAGCCGATCAATGGCTCTCTCATCATTGATGTTTCTATCTCTCTCTCCCTCTCCTTTCCTCTCTCTGAAATCAATAAAGATGTATTTAAAAAAAAAAAAGAAAAGAAAAATTAGTCGAAGAGCCCCACAATCAGCCAGTGGCCAGCCCTGTCCCTCTGCGATCCCGGCATCTCCTCGTCCCTGCTCAGCAACAACGGGGGAGCAGCTCTATGCAGCTGAGGGCGGTCCCTGCCCCAGGCACCCGGGCCTGGGCACCCCAGTGAGCGCCGCTCCCGCCCTGCCCTCTGGCGGCTCCACCCCCTAGGAGCCCCGCTTCCGCCCCCCGCGGGCCAAGATGCCTGCCT